GATCTAGAAAGAAGTTTCTTTAAACTAATGATATATTTGACTAAAATTTGAAATCGTAACTGAATGAAAAGCTAAATAAAACACCCCTATTATTTTTTACTTAAAAATTTTGGGTTACTACCTACTTTCTTAGATATTATTACTTTACTATTGAATTTAGCATAGTTGCAGTTGAAGTTCAATTATTTTATAGAGTGAACTGATTCTTCTGTTTCATAAATATGATAAGTAATATTGGCTTGTAGTTTTATAAAACTAAGTACCATAACACATATATTCAAATTTATAGTCGTTTTATGCATATAGAAGGTAACATTTTTTTATTTTTGTGATTCAATCATTTGACTCCCACATAACACTTTCGTCTCTTCTTTCTCTTATTCAAAAGATTATGTGAAAACTAATGGTCTTATTTTATGTTTGACTACATATTTAGTACATATTCGACAAACACTAGCAACAAACATACATATAAATAATGTAAAAATACGTTTTAAAAAAGTTGTAACATAAATAATATATAGACGAAATTGAGCAACAAAATAAGTAAATTTTAATCGTATTGGAACTATCCCTTCCTTGACTCGCTTATTGTCATAAACAAAATTGAAGCTTGAACCCAAACTAAAACTTATCCAGAGTAATTTACTCATAGCTTACAAAAGAATACATAAACACTTCTTTCAAGATCATGATAGTTGGACAAAATTATGAAGAATGAAAAAGAAAGAACTTATTAAGAACAAAAATGACAATTTTCATATTAGTTGTCATTCTAAAATTAGTTGTCATTTTATATTTTCAATGAAGATTTATGATTAATTTTTCATTTCTATCCCTAGTTTTAAATCTTATTAATTATTCATATCAAACCAAACATTGTATTAATTAGGGGTAAAAAAATTGTTTTCTTAATTTCGCTGTAAAAGCCTAGCTACAACTAATTTAAACGAGATGAATACTTTTTTATATGACTCAATAGGAATAATTCAAAATAATATGTATCAAAATCAAAATCTAAGTCATCATCTTCATTTTCAGTTTTCTCTAACTCCATCAAATAATTTTGTTTCAAATTCTATGTTGTAATAACCAAACTCAAATTTTCCAAAATAATCTTCAATTAATCAAATTAATCACTTCTAACATCACACGTTTGATTAAAACACTATTTCTAAACAAGATGATTTATAGATGAAAGAAAAAATTAGTGTGTACAAATGTCAAATCACTAAATTAGTTTTTGATTTTGTTTTGTATATATATATAATGAGAGACATCAATAATAATTTTATCTTTCATATTTATTTAAGACACAATATTTTAAAAATGGAAACACAAGCTTCCAAATCGACAAAACGGAATCACAAGCTTCCAACGGCCGCGGAGACCGAATAACACTGCTTTAAGCTATACGTTTGGCTAACCGGAGAATTGTGGTCTCAAAGATTGACAAGTAAAATGAATGAAACGCTAAATACTTATTAACATCTGGTTTCCATTTAGCTTTACTCTACTTCAAACATGAATATTGCTTTCTTCATATCTCTTGCTTTGCTGTTTGCCGCAGCTTATAAACCATGAAAATTGGTATCAGATGACCATATGTCAGGGCCTCACAGAAATTGCTGAATCATGAGACTGAACTGGATAATCACCAAAAAGACGGTATTATCAAACCATAAGTATGTGACCACCTTCTGACAAACCTCCAAAGATTTGAGAGATGCAGCAGTAAACTTTCAGCTTCAGCCAGTCTTCTCCAACCGAAACATGGACAACGCCAGCATCCTGGATGACCAAAGACAATTACATGCAACTTAAGTTTTAATGTTCAGTGGATGAAACACTAACCACGCTAATTATTATCCTCACGTCAACATCAGACACATGTGTTTGATGGACTGAAAAATGAGGAATGTTTTTCTTCAGACATTAGGATTTGGGCTACTAGAGATTTTAGTATGTGAAGCTTTAGTATCAGAGATTAAGAAAGACCATTTGGCTTACGAGAGCGTTTCAGCTGTATAGAATATTGGAAGTCTCCCTAAACCTGTACATTTCCACGTTTCTTTTGGGGCCAGAATATACTTTTCAGGTCCTGATCCTGTAGCTGTTAAGACAAACTGCATATATTCTGTTAACACTAGGATACAGTAGATCAGACATATTGAAACACTGACAAGAATAAAATGTCTGATACTGCGTTACTGACTCAGCAAAGATCATTTACCAATGGAAACAGGATCGCCATAAGCGCTCCGCTCACGAGAGGAGAGAGAAAGAAAATGGCCAAGACGCAAGGGCTTCCTGTAAACCAAACAAAAGCCAGTAAAGCAAACCAGTAATAATTCAGTTTTGAATTATTAAGGTCGCAAGCGAACCAGTAAAGTAGAAAACGCTACCAAAACCAGTAAAGAATGCCCAGTTAGATTCAAAGAAATCCAGCCTTTTCTTCAGAGGAATCCTTGAGAAATTCCACTTATATCTACAATGAAAACCTTTATTTGGTAAGTTAACATAGTAACTCCATTTCTTAGCACTGTTGCATAGGCCCCTGCGTAAGATTAGAGATCGGAACATACTCATAACAATAGTAGGCATACATCCATGAAAGAAGTAAGAAATTCAGTATCTTTCCGATGTATGGTATAAGGCCAACAGCATAAACCTGCAATGTATGTAGGCCATTAGAATTTTGAATTTGTTACCATACACGCGTCAAGAAAGCGTATAAGTTCAATAGAGATTCACAAAAGGGGAACCATTTACCTCCAGGAGAAAAAAAGTCAGGAGTAGTATCGAGTACACCTGCTCTCCTATACCGATCATCACCCTGACAATCGTGTAGCAAAAGGAAGTTGATTAATCCTTAAAATTAGTTTTTCACTTTGTTGTTTTGAAGAAGTGTCTCGGTAGACCAGTACCGTCCAAGACCAGAAGGCCTTTCAGCATTTTCTGTGTTCACTGAATCCAGAGCTTCATCATGTCTTAATGCTTCTGATGAACTTAAGTCAGATTTCTCGATTGCCTCGAAACCATACTTTGAAATATCGTTATACCTGAAAGCCAGATGGTCCTCGTAAGCTCAACTTTCACAGAAATAAAGATAAGCATAATGGAAGACTAAACAAGTTTGTTTCAATTAGTAATTATCAGCTCTCGAAAGCCCAAAGATGCAAATATTCTTAGCCCCTAATAATAGTATGTGAATTGAATGATGTTTTAGGATTCCGTCATAACCAGGTCAAAGAGTAACCACAACAATTCCGAGAAAAGAAAATGAAAGAAACAAAAAGGCATAAGAAGATGCAAGAAGTGTACCATATGTTACTCAAGATGAAGCTGAAGACGTAGAGAGGATAGAACCAGAATACCTGGTGGCATAATAAGGACGATTCATTCAAAGTCAGACAAGGTAAAAAAGGCGATACACGCTTCGTGGGAATGGTGATCAAGACAAAAGAAAATACAAAACTCCAAGAAGAATGCTCTTCAAAACCTTAAACGCACGATAGAGATAGACTATCCGAAATCTACATGTGAGCAGGATATATACTTACATAAAATAGCTGCAAAAGCGCACCACGAAGGATGGCATAAGGTCTCCCATACGAGCAAAGTTGTTGAGAAATGAGAGGAGAGCAGTGATCAGGTAATATCCACTGAAGGGCTGGATCAATAAACAAGTTGAACAAACCTAGACTGCACCACCCCCAAGGAAAATGAAAGGTAAGTTCAAAGTATTGAATTGATACAGTTGGACACATAAAAATGCAATGAGGAACATCTGCCAGAAGAATTCTGAACATCTTAAGAATCTCTGCTATAATTAAGTCTCAGAATTTTCTCTGGTTGATTTAGGTTATATCCCAAAATCCAATATATTTATTCTGGAAGATATGTACTCAGATTATCTAGTCTTGGATTATTAAGCTTACTTGTAAGAAAGAAAGACAAACTTGAAGATACATAAAAGATGAACTCGAAGTACCTTCCTAAGAAAATCAAACCATTCAAGATAAAACACTGTCCCGTTCGTAGTAGGAGCTTCCTTGACCTAGATTAGATGGAAAAACACTTGTGTCTGTAAATCGGCGATGGAAATTAAGAGATTTACAGGTATATGAGGAAACGAATCAGAGCGAACCTGAGACAGAGAATAACAACACGGTGAAGAGAACAAGCTTCTCGGAAACCCTCAAGCCAAAGCACCATCGCCTGCTTCGATTTCGTTATCATCTCTGCTCGGTGAAACATCGACGAATCAGACAAGCAACTAATTAAAAAGAGCTTTTTAGTTTTTTTTCCGGCACAAAGTCACAAGTCGAGTTTGATTAAGAACGATGACTCCCCTGGTAGGACCTTGAGTTTTGGTTTTTTGCACGTTTTCGAGTCAAGATAATTTATATCTAAACCATTTGCT